AACTGTACTGAGAGATGTAAACAAAGACACAAATGACTGGAAATATGTTGAGTAATTGGAAAAGTTGTCAATTCTGCCCCACGAATAATCTACAGAAGTAATGACTGGTCAAAATCCCTACAGGTTTTTTTGTTTGTTTTATTTTGTGGAAACGGACAAGTTGATTCCAAAATATATATTGAAATGCAGGAATCAGGGGCACCTGGGTGGCTCAGTCAGTTGACTGTCCGACTCTTTTTTTTTTTTTTAATTTTATTTTTTTACTTTACATCCAAGTTAGCATATAGTGCAACAGTGATTTCAGGAGTAGATTCCTTAATGCCCCTTTACCCATTTAGCCCATCCCCCCTCCCACAACCCCTCCAGTAACCCTCTGTTTGTTCTCCATATCCAGGAGTCTCTTATGTTTTGTCCCCCTCCCTGTTTTTATATTATTTTTGCTTCCCCTCCCTTGTGTTCATCTGTTCTGTGTCTTAAGGTCCTCATATGAGTGAAGTCATATATTTGTCTTTCTCTGACTGATTTTGCTTAGCATAACATCCTCTAGTTGCATCCACGTAGTTGCAAATGGCAAGATTTCATTCTTTTTGATTGCCGAGTAATAATCCATTGTGTGTGTGTGTGTGTGTGTGTGTGTGTGTGTGTGTGTGTGTTTGTGTGTGTGTGTGTGTACCACATCTTCTTTATCCATTCATCCATCAATGGACTCTTTCCATCAATTTCTATTTGGGCTCTTTCCATACTTTGGCTATTGTTGATAGTGCTGCTATAAACATGGGGTGCATGTGTCCCTTCGAAACAGCACCCCTGTATCCCGTGGATAAATACCTAGTAGTGCCATTGCTGCGTTGTAGGGTAGTTCTATTTTTAGTTTTTTGAGGAACCTCCATCCTGTTTTCCAGAGTAGCTGCACCATCTTGCATTCCCACCAACAATGCAAAAGAGATCCTCTTTCTCTGAATCCTCACCAACATCTGTTGTTGCCTGAGTTGTTCATGCTAGCCATTCTGACAGGTGTAAGGTGGTATCTCATGGTGGTTTTGATTTGTATTTCCCTGATGATGAGTGAAGTTGAGCACTTTTTCATGTGTCAGTTGGCCACCTGGATGTCTTCCTTGGAGAAGTGTCTATTCATGTCTTTTGGCCATTTCTTCACTGGATTCTTTGTTTTTTGGGTGTTGAGTTTGATATGTTCTTTATGGATTTTGGATACTAACCCTTTATCTGATATGTCATTTGCAAATATCTTCTCCCATTCTTCCGGTTGCCTTTTAGTTTTGCTGATTGTTTCCTTCGCTGTGCAGAAAGTTTTTATTTTAATGTCCCAGTAGTTCATTTTTGCTTTTGTTTCCCTTGCCTCCAGAGACGTGTTTAGTAAGTAAGACGTGCTTTCTCCTCAAGGATATATATATATATATATATATATATATATATATATATATATACACATTTTATAAATATTATATATATACATATTATATATAAATATATATGTATATACAAAACCAGAGGGATAATATATATGTATTATTTTATGTATTATATAGTATATATCCCACACACATGATGATTACTTCTCCATGATTTCTTACTCAGTTAAGTATCATGGGCTTCCTGCTTTATCAAAGATTAGTTGGCCATACGTTTGTAGGTCCATTTCTGGGTTCTCTATTCTGTTCCACTGATCTGAGTGTCTGTTCTTGTGCCAGTACCATACTGTCTTGATGATTACAGCTGTGTAATACAACTTGACGTTTGAGTGTTCAACTCTTGATTTTGGCTCAGGTCCTGATCCCAGGGTCATGAGATCAAGCCCTGAGTTGAGCTCCACACTGAGCCTGGAGCCTGCTTGGGACTCTCTCTCTCCCTGCCTCTCTCCTCCACTTACACACTCTTTTAAAAAAAGGCAGGAATCAAGAACAAAGACATTTTTGAAAAAGAGAAAAGTCGAGGGATGTGGTCTACCAAATAACAAAACTTATAAACTCACAATTTGATATCCACAGGCATCGTCTGTTCAAGAAACAAACCCACCCTTCATGTAAAATTCCATCCATGACCAACCAGTTTATGACCGTTGTAATGGGAAAGAAAAACACTACTTTTTCTGGAGAATTATGGAAAATCAATCATCCCCACTCAAAAGCTGTTAGTAAGGATCTAATCACAACGGCTATTTCAAACACCTTTGAGATGCTTTTCAAACCTGTCTTCATCCTCAAATGACCCTCTGGGGGCACCTGGGTGGCTCAGTCAGTTAAGCATCCGACTTCAGCTCCGAAATTCATGAGTTCAGGCCCGGCATCAGGCTCTCTGCTGTCAGTGAGGAACCTGCCTCAAATCCTCTGTCCCCCCCTCTCTCTCTGCCTCTCTCCCACGGTCTCTCTCTCAAAAATGAATAAACATTAAAAAAAAAAAAGACCCTGTGGAAGAGATAGTACCACTCCCATGTAAGGTTTGGAACTATTAAGTTCCCTTGGATAGTTAGTGACTAGAGCAGCAGGACTTAAATCCAAGTCTTTGTGACTCAGTAGCACATGGCCCTTCCCCCTCTCTGCACTGCATCTCGTCACACATGACCCTCTTCTATCTGAAAAAAGTTAACCATTCGTGGCAGATACAAATTTGGACGATGAGATATTTTCGTGGCTGGTAGGGCAGTGGTAATTGCATTGTAGAGGCTGAAGCAAAGGACAGTTTTTATTTGTTTGTTTCTTTGTATGTTTATTTTTAAGTAAGCTTTACACCCAATGTGGGGCTTGCACTCACAACCCTGAGATCAAGATTGGCATGCTCTACTGAGTCAGCCAGACGCCCCAGAACATTTTTTTTGTTTTATTTTATTTTATTTTATTTTATTTTATTTTATTTTATTTTATTATTTTAAGAGAGAGAGAGCATAAACAGGGAGGTGCAGAAGGAGGGAGGGAGGGAGTGAGGGAGGGAGGGAGGGAGAGAGAGAGAGAGAGAGAGAGAAAATCTTAAACAGGATCCATGCTCAGTGTGGAGCCTGATGCAAGGCTCGATCCCACGGCCCTGGGATCATGACCTGAGTGGAAATCAAGGGTCAGATGCTCAACTGACTGAGCCACCCAGGCACCCCATCCAGAACAGTTTTTTTTTTTAATGTTTATTTATTTTGAAAAAGAGAGAGAATGTGAGTGGGTCAGAGGCAGAGAGAGAGAATCCCAAGCAGGCTCTGCACTCTGTGCTGAGCCCAACAAGGGGCTCAATCTCACAGATTGAGAGATCATGACCTGAGCCGAAATCAAGAGTCAGATGCTTAACCGACTGAGCCACCCAGGCGCCCCTCAGAACAGTTTTTACCTAGGTAAGCGATGGGCTCCGTGTTCAACTTAGACAGGGCTAGAGTGTCGGCTCCTAGCCTCTGCCACACATAAACACATGAGGGCTGGGTAAGGCTGGTTGGCTTCCCTGGGACTAGGGGCGCACTTGGGAGCAGTGCGTGAAAGTAGAAGCAGCAGGTCAAAACGAGAAATCCCAATTGGAAGGGGACCAGAATCACAGCTGAGCAGATCGTCCAAACCTTGAGCTAGAGTCAAAGGTTAGAGACAGAAATTTGGCAGAGAGACTAGTTAAGCTGCTGGGTAATAAGTGTAAATGTGGGCAGGCAAGAGAGAGCTTTCTGGAACCAACATGGGAATCAACCCATTTGTGTCTCAGTGTGAGATCCAAAAAATAGCGTGTGATACATCCATACAATGAAATACCATGCAGCCGTTGGAGGTGCCTATAAAGTATGGAACAAAGCCCATGACATTTAACTGAGTAAGAAATCATGGAGAAGTAATCATTATGTGCGTCAGATATATACTATATACTATATAAAATTATATATATATATATATATATATACACTAGATATAGTATTTTTAAAAATTTTTTTTATGTTTTATTTCTTTTTGAGAGAGAGAGAGAGACAGAGACTGCACAAGCAGAGGAGGGACAGAGAGAGAGGGAGACACAGAATCCAAAGCAGCCTCCAGGCTCTGAGCGGTCTACACAGAACCTGGTGCAGGGCTCAAACTCGTGAATTGTGAGATTATGACCTGAGGTGAAGTCAGACACTTAACTGACTGAGCCACCCAGGCACCCCAATATATATAGTATTTTTTAGAGAGGAGAGTCTGGAATTACACATTTGGAACTATTACCAGCAGTGGTTTCTGGAACAACTTTTCATTTATACATGTCTGGATTGTTTGAAAATTTTTACAAAGCACATATATGACATTCAGTAATAACTGAAAGAATAATATAAAAGGTCCTTAGAAAGAAAGAAATTAGCCCATATAGAACACCCACATGGAGTCCTCAAATGTTTCCGTTCCACCTGGAAAAGCTTTGTATTCCTTGGCCTTCCAGGAGCTTCAAATAGGTTGTGGGTCTGGGGTCTGGGGTTGGGGGTATTTGTGTCTGAACAGTTTGGATCTAATTCCTGTCTTTGTTTCTCATTTCCACCTGCCTCCTATAGAAGTCTGAAGGGAAGGTGAAGAAAAGAGGCTGTTTATTTAAAAATATTTTTTTTCAACGTTTATTTATTTTTGGGACAGAGAGAGACAGAGCATGAACGGGGGAGGGGCAGAGAGAGAGGGAGACACAGAATCGGAAACAGGCTCCAGGCTCTGAGCCATCAGCCCAGAGCCTGACGCGGGGCTCGAACTCACAGACCGCGAGATCGTGACCTGGCTGAAGTCGGACGCTCAACCGACTGCGCCACCCAGGCGCCCCGAGGCTGTTTATTTTATTCACTTATTATTATTTTTTGTGTGTGGTAAGAACACTTAACATGAGACCTATCCTCTCAATAAATGTTAAGTGCACATTATTTTGGACTATAAGTACAATATTGTACAGTAGGTCTCTAGAGCTAACTTATCTTACTTAACTGAACCTGTATGCCTCCTAACAATTCCCCATCCCCCAAACCCTGGTAACTACCATTTTAAATTCTGATTTTTTGAATTCATCTTTTTTAGATATCTCATAAAGTGGAATCATCCAGGGGAGCCTGGCTCTCTCAGTGGGTAGAGCATGTGACTCTTGATCTCTGGATTGTATGTTCAAGCCCCACACTGGGTGTAGAGATTACTTAAAAATAAAGTCTTTCTTTTTAATTAAAAAAAATGTGTGTTAGTTTGTTTATAGCACAAGTAGGGGAGAGGCAGAGATAGAGGGAAAGACAGAATCCCAAGCAGGCTCCGCAGTGTCAGCACAGAGCCTGATGTGGGGCTTGACCCCATGAACTGCAATATCATGACCGGAGTCTAAATCAAGAGCCAGACTCTCAACCTACTGAGCCACCCAGGCTGACCCGTTCAAAATAAAATCTTAGGGGCACCTGCAGGGTTCAGTGGTTGACCACTGGACTTCAGCTCAGGTCATGATCTCAGGGTTCATGGGTTTGAGCCCTGCATCAGGCTTCCTGCTGTCAGCACCGAGCTGCCTTGGGATCCTTGGTCCCCCTCTCTCTCTGCCCCTCCCCCACTTGGGTGCACTCACGTGCTCTCTCTCTCTCTCTCTCTCTCAAAAATAAATGAACACTTAATAAACAAATAAATTCCATTCTTTTAAAGAAAGATCACTCTGGAAAACAGTATGGAGGTTCATCAAAAAATTAAAAACGGTACTACCCTATAACACAGCAATTGTACTATGTATGTATGTATGTATGTATTTTAATGTTTATTCATTTTTTGAGAGACAGAGAGAGACAGAGCATGAGCAAAGGAGGGGCAGAGAGAGAGGAGTCACAGATTCCGAGGCAGGCTTCAGTCTCCCAGCTGTCAGCACAGAATCTGATGCGGGGCTGAAACCCATGGCCTGAGCCAAAGTACCTAGGTGCCCCAAGTACTATTAGGTATTTATCCAAAGGATGCAAAAATGTTCATTCAAAGGGGCACATGCACCCCAATGTTTATAGCAGCGCTATCAACAATAGCCAAATTTTAGGAAGAGCCCAAATGTCAATCAACTGATGAATGGATAAAGAAGATGTGGGATATATATATATATACACACACACACACACACATATATATATGTGTGTGTATATATATATATATATATATATATATATATATATCAGAGAAAGACAAATATCGTATGATTTCACTCACATGTGGAAACTAAGAAACACAGCACATGAACATAGGGGAGGGGAAGGAAAACTAAAATAAGATAAAAACAGGGGCACCTGCGTGGCTCAGTCAGTTGGGTGTCTGACTTTCACACAGTTCACGATCTCGCGGTTCGTGGGTTTGAGCCCCGCGTCGGGCTCTGTGCTGACAGCTCAGAACCTGGAACCTGCTTTGAATTCTGTGTCTCCCTCTCTCTCTGCCCCTCCCCTGCGCGATCTCTCTCTCTCTCTCAAAAATAAATAAACATAAAAAAAATAATAAAAGAGGGGGAAGCAAACCATAAGAGACTCTCAAATACAGAGAACAAACAGGGTTGCTGGAGGGGGGCGGGGGTGGGCTAAATGGGTGATGGGCATTAAGGAGGGCACTTGTGACTAAGAGCACTGGGTGTTGTATGTAAATGATGATTCACTAAATTCTACTCCTGAAACCAATACTACACTGTATGCTAACTAACGAATTTAAATAAAATTTAAAAAAAATAAAAAAAGAAGTGGAATCATGTGGTACTTGTCCATCTCTGTTTGACTTCTATCACTCAGCATAATGTCCCCAAGTTGTGGCAACTTGGGGACCATGTTGTGGCATCCCATCCATGTTGTGGCAAACAGCAGAATTCCCTTCTTTTAAAAACAAAAACAAAAAACATTTATTTATTTTTGAGAGACGGAGAGAGACAGAGCGTGAGCGGCGGAGGGGCAGAGAGAGAGGGAGACACAGAATCCGAAGCAGGCTCCAGGCTCCGAGCTCTCAGCACAGAGCCCGATGCGGGGCTCAAAGTCACAAACCTTGAGATCGTGACCTGAGCCCAAGTCGGACGCTTAACTGACTGAGCCACCCAGGCGCCCCAAGATTCCCTTCTTTTTTAAGGCTGAATAGTAATCGGTTGCATGTACATATCCCATTTTCTTTATCCAGCCATCTGTTGATGGACGTTTTAGGTTGTTCCCACATCTTAGCTATTGCGAATAGTGCTGCCGTGATCACAGGAGTGCTAATATCTGAGAAGAGGGTCTTTTGGAGAAAGGTCCTGTGAATGAGGGGTTCCCAGGGTGGCTCAGTCTCTGGAAGGGTGAGCAGGAAAGAGCCCGCGTGGGGCTGACTGAGAAAGGGAATGAGGGAAGATGTCAGGGGAGCACCGGCAGCAGGAACCTCTCCTCACTCATGGCTGCCACACCTGTGCCTTCCCCCAGAGAGGACTGTGTTTGCAGGAAATACGAGACAAGGGCCCATCAGTGGTCCACCTTCAATTACAGAGCAACAATAGCTTCACAAAAGGGGAAGCCACCACCCACGTTTCAAGATGGTAGCAACATCACCATCGTTCTCACACAGATTCACAGTGAGAATATTAAGGAGACCAACATCAGGATGACAAAGTGGGTTCAAAGAAGGATGCAAAAAACTGCGAGTCCGTGCGTGTGTGCACATGCACGAGCTCACACGCACACTCTCAATGAAAAAGAGAATTCTGGACGAAGAACCTGTCTAAGTTGACGATGGAAGTGGCTACTGCCTTACCATGCAAGAAGACCACAATCTTTGGGGTTACCATTACTGTCTCTTCCAAATGTTTCTATTTTACCTTCTTCGATACCAGAGAAAAGAGGGGCGCCTGGGTGGCTCAGTCGGTTGAGCGTCTGACTTGGGCTCAGGTCATGATCTCACGGTTCGTGGGTTCGAGCCCCACATCGGGCTCTGTGCTGACAGCTCAGAGGCTGTTTCAGATTCTGTGTCGCCCTCTCTCTCTGCCCCTCCCCCACTTGCTCTCTGTCTCAAAAATAAACATTTTTTTTAATTGAAAAAAAATACCAGAGAAAAGCATTTGCATCTTACCCATTTTGGCAGGTCAATATCCCACGTGAAAGATTCTGGACCCTGATCCATAGTAAATAAGAAGTCAAAGCAAATTTTTCTTCCCCTAGAATGGTATTCCTCAGCCAGTTTCTGAAGAGAGGTTGGCGCCCTAATGCCCAAGGCATTCCTTTTTTTTTTTCCCTTAGTTATTTTAATGTTTATTTATTTTTCAGAGAGACAGTGTACGAGTGGGGGAGGGGCAGAAACAGAGGGGGAAGGGCAGAGACAGAGAGGGAGACACGGAATCTGAAACAGGTTCCAGGCTTTGAGCTGTCAGCGCAGAGCCGGACGTGGGGCTTGAACTCGGGAGCGGTGAGATCATGACCTGAGCCGAAGTCGGACACTCGACCAACTGAGCCACCCAGGAGCCCCCCAAGGCCTTCTTCATATGTAATCAACACACTTCTCTCTGCATCTAAGGTGGTATCAGTTGTGTACTGTCCATGGGAGAAAATAGTCACTTGAACAAGTCTCTGTGTTCTGAGAATAAGATGACCCTGATTCCTCTGCCCCGGGTCCAAATTTTGGTTCATTTTTCTTCAGAGGAGAAACTATAGGTGCATAGATTTTGAGCAAGAGTTCATCCACGTAACTTGTACTTTTACTATCTGAGGACCAACTGGAAGAAAAATATTCAAAACCTGATAAAATGCCCAACGTGATAAAATTCCCTCTAGAGAAAGAGCTTTAATGAGAACTTGAACCTCACCCAGGATACCCAAGTGGGGAGAAGCCATGTGCATATCAATATGGGGGAAGAGGTCCCCACCAGAAGGGAAGGTTCTCAAGGCAGAGAAACCCTAGACCTGCCCCCCCAGGGTTGGTCTGATTTCACAGCCCTGAGCTGATTGGCTATCTGAACACCCATACTAGTGAGAAATTCTGCAAATATCCTAATTAAGTCAACCGCAGGCCATTAGTCTTGGGGAAAATGCTAATGTCCTCAGCCAGGGAAGATCTTCAGCTTTAATATCAACCTCATCGGACAGGAGAATCTCCACAAAGCAAAGACACCCTCTGAATGTCCAGAGTGGCCAGAGAGCTGAGATGGCTGAGGAGGTAGACCCACAGACTGGGCAAACGTCTCCACCGGGCCTTCTCCACCCAGAGACTGGTCCACAGACCACCACCCTCTGGCTGCCGGACGGGAGATGTTCACTCTGGTGCCTGCTTCAGGTTAACCCCTGGTGTCTACCTCTTCTTTACAAGGATTCATCAGGATTTGTGGTTCAGACAGACTTGTTCCGTATCCGGGCTCGTCACTTACTTGCTATGTGATGTTGAATGGATTGATTAATTTCTATGAGTCTCTCTCTTCTTAAAAAAAAAAAATTTTTTTGTTGTTTTAATTTTAGAAGAGAGAGCATGAGTAGGGGAGACGGGCAGAAGGAGAGAGAATCTTAAGCAGGCTCCACACTCAGCACGGAGCCTGATGCGGACTCTATCCCAAGACCCTGGGGTTACGACCTGAGCCAGAATCAAAAGTCAGATGCTCAACTGACTGAGCCCTCCAAGCGCCACTCTCTCTCTCTTTTTTATTTTATTTATTTATTTTTTTAATGTTTACTCATTTTTGAGAAAGAAAGAGAGAGAGGCAGAGCATGAGCAGGGGAAGGGCAGAGAGAGAGGGAGACACAGAATGTGAAGCAGGCTCCAGACTCTGACCTGTCAGCACAGAGCCCAAGGCAGGGCTTGAACTCCTGAACAGCAAGATCATGACCTGAGCCAAAGTCAGACGCTTAACCGTTTAACCGACCGAGCCACCCTGGCACTCCAGGACATGTCCTCTTTTTTTTTTTTTAATGTTTATTTATTTCGAGGGAGGGGAAGAAGGAGAAGGAGAGAGAATTCCATGCAGGCTGAGCGCTGTTAACACAGAGAGGCGGGTCTTAAGATCTCACCGTTGGTGAGATCATGAGCTAAGCCAAAATCAAGAGTTGCAGGCTTAACTGACTGAGCCACCCAGGCTCCTCGCCCCTCTCTTTTTTTAAATTTAAGATGAGATTAATATGAGCACCCATTTCATAGGTGTCATGAAAATTAACAAGGATGAATGAGGTTGCTTTCCACCACCTTCTTTTTGTTTGGCTGACCCAATTTCCCAGAATCCACAAGCTCAGTGTGTGTCCCAGGCCCCCAGCTTGGGCCTGGGGATGGGGAAGTGGCATCCTCTGTGCCCTTGTGGTGAAGGAACTCCCCCATGGCTGAGGGGGTTCCCAAGTGGCCATAGGAAATGGACCACCAGCAAAGCACAGTCTTTATGGGTCTTTTCCAATGACCCCCAAGGAGACGCACACATATTCTCTCGTCCTGTCCTTGGGCAGTCCCTTAGGATAGCAGTTCTGAAGCTAGCAGCTAACTTTCCTGACTGTTCTAAACAGGACTGGCCCAGCAGTGAGACGATCATAGAACTTTACAGCCATATCAGAGACCTTGTTGGGCAAAGAGGGAAGGGTTGCCAGAATTAGCAAATAAAATACAGAATGCCCAGTTAATTTTGAATTTCAGATAAGGGACCAAAAAATATTATTATTACTTTTTAATGTTTATTTATTTATTTATTTATTTTGAGAGAGAGAGAGAGAGAGAGAGAGAGAGAGAGAGAGAGAGCAGGGGAGGGGCACAGAGAGAGGGAGACAGAGGATAGAAAGCAGGCTCTGCATTGACAGGAGAGAGCCCAATGTGGGGCTCGAACTCACGAACTGTGAGATCATGCCCTGTGCCGCAGTCAGACGCTTAAATGAGCCATGCAGGCGCCCCAGGAGGAAAAAAAAATATTTAAGTATTTCCCAATATTGCCTGGAACATACTTCCTAAGAATTTTTTTTTTTTTTTTGGTTGTTTATCTGAAATTCAAATGTAACAGGGCTTCCTGTATTTTATCTGGCAACCCAGAGAGGAGGGCTTGGTGCGAGGGGGAAACAACTTGGGGGTCACACAGCAAGCCAGGCCTCACCGCCAGGTCTGCTGGTTCCCAGGCCACTGGCCTCACACCCGACCATCTGCCCAGGCATAAGGGGAATGAATGCTTGCTGGGCTGGCGGCCTCGCGGATCCCTCGCCTATTCTACAAGCGAAGAACCACTCATTCCAGGTCTCCAGTGGCGAAGCACGACACCCGCACAGCACACGGGAGAACAGGGCCGAGCTCAGGACTTGAGGGGATTTAGGTCAGAGTCCAGGCTATTTTCCAAGTGCGGGCGATCACAGGCCAGACATTTAACTGCTCCAAGGCTCAGGTTTTTAAACTACCAAACGGGCACAATGAGACCGATTTCCAAAGGGTTACTTTGAGGATTAGCAGAGCTGAGCAATTCCCCAAAAGCTGGTTGCTTGTAAACTATGGAGTATATTCTGGGTCTATGCAGTTTCATCAGGACCCATGAAGACGGAAGAGGAACTTTGGGTGTGTAGGGCTGAGAACTTGCACCCAAGCTTCTCCACCCCAGGCTCCCAAGGGGCTTGGGGCTGAAATCTGGCCCGGCCCCACGAAGCCCGACCGAGTGGTCCGTCCCATCCCCATTTACGGGAACTCACAGCGGCGATCAATCATCCTTAATTTGTAACTGGGCAGTGTCCTGAGCCAGCCAATAGCCAAGACCGACCCCACCACGCACCCCACCTCCCTGACCCTGCGGGGCTATCCACTCAGTCGGCACTGAAGCTGCCCAGGGTCCAGGAGTTTGGAGCAGGTTTGGTGATGGGGGAGGGGGGCGCAGGGGTGGGGGGGGGGTGGGGAGTGGGATGTCTTCGTCTCCTTTCCCTTCCCTGGTTTCTTGCCCCCCTTTTATCTCTGAAGTTTCTATAGACTTGCTTCCACTGAAGACTTCCGTTCCCCTCCTCCCGTTACCCCTCCCCTCAGTGCCCCTCTCTACCCCCCCCCACCGTAACCCCCCACCGTACCCCCCTCCCGCTCCCGCCTGAGCTGTGGTGCCCAACCCCCTCTGGACCTCCCATGCTTCCCCCTGCCTCTAGCGTCATTGTTAGGCTTTAAAGCCGGACTCTGGATGGAACAGATGGATGGAGACCCGGCCTTGGGAGGGGGAAGGAAGGGCCAGCCGGTGCCGGGAAAGGGAAGCGGTTTGGGGAAAACAAAACAGGGGGAGGAGCCTGGGAGAGGAGGAGGAGAAGGAGGAGGGGATTCGCGCTGAGGGGCTTAGGCCGGGAACCGAATGGGGCGGGCCCAGGGTGCGTGGAAGGTGCTGTGGGGTGGAAGCCCCCAGGGCTCCAGGGCTGGGCGCTGACTGCGACGCCGGCTGGCTCCGCAGGTCCCGGCTGACGCCGCCGCCCAGATGGCCTCCAGGCTGACCTCGCTGACCCTCCTGCTGCTGCTGCTGCTGGCTGGGGTGAGTGGTCCCTTCGGAGGGACGGGGGGGGGGGGGGAAGGGGGTTGAGGTTTAACCGTTCCAGGCCCGGAGAACGAAGAGAGCTCCTCTTGGCATCAGCAAGTGTGGTCCTTGCCCCGGGGTTCGGAGAGAGCGAGGCAGGAGCCAGGTTCTAATCCCGGCCCGCTGCCCACCAGTTGGGGTGGCCTTGAGCAAGTCCCTTCCCCGAGCTTACCTGTGATGGTTTATAAAGTGGAGAATAGAGCGGGAGGATCAGAGAGGGCCAAGAGATGGACAGCATTCTGTGATCGAGAAGCCGGGGGTTATGGTGGCAAACTGAGCTGCGGGGTGGGGTGGGGCCCCGGCTGCTGAGACCCTGGTTCTCTCCGGGCTGCGCCCATGAAAACACTCCGGGGGTCTGGGTGGGGGCCGATCGCAGCGAGAGGTCCCAGCGGTGTGGGAGTCAGGAGGAAGGTGGGCGCTTGCTTTGCGCGTCTGTGCAGGGATGGTCGAGTGTGGAAGTTGGCCTGGGAAGTGCCATTAGAGAATCAGCAGGTGCTGCCCTTTGATGAGCGAGGGATCTGGAATCAGAGTTGAATCATCAGCTTCTGTGAGACCCTGGGTTAGTTACTGAATATCTCAGCATCAGTTTCTTTTATCAGTGAGATGGGATAATAGCCATGACATTTGGGGCTGGATAATTCAGTAGGAGGGGCTATCCTGTGCACTGGAGGACGCTTTGCAGTATCCCCGGTTTCTACTCACTAGATGGCCATTAGCAACTCCACCCTACCCCCCAATCCCCTTCCCTCCCGTAAGATAACCAAAACTGCCTCCAGACATTGCCAAAAGTTCCCAGGGATTAAAATGGTCTCGGACTTAGAGCCACTGGTCTATACTATTTCTTCCTCCTCCCTTCCTTTCTTTTGGAACACTGGGGGTTTTCAGTAGGCACTACTGTAACGGCTTGCAACCCACAGTTTGAAAAACCACAGTTCTCACGCAAAGATCACGAGCTCAGATATCTATATTGGCCTGGCAGGTGAGCCGAGACTGGCCGATACCTAAAAGAAATTGCAAGAGGGGCGCCTGGGTGGCTCAGTCGGTTAAGCATCGACTTTGGCTCAGATCATGAGATCTCACGGTCCGCGGGTTCGAGCCCCACGTTGGGCTCCATGCTGACAGCTCAGAGCCTGGAGCTCCCTCTGTGTCTCCCTCTCTCTCTGCTCCTCCTCTGCTTCCGCTCTGTCTCTCTCTCAAAAATAAGTAAACATTAAAAAAAAAGAAGAAGAAATTGCAAGAACATAGATAAATGGCAGTTGGCATTTGCCAACTTACGGCAGTTGCCGTAAGGCAGTGATTGCCCAGAGTTAACAGAATCCCTGTCTGCTCCTTACCTTTGCGGAGATTATCCCCGCCTCCACCCCTGCCCCCACCGGCTCCTGCATTGCCCCTTCTCTGGAAAAACTAGTGGTTGGCAGCTTCAGGCAGGCCCCTTACCCACCAGGTTTTTCCAGCAGTTATCCTCCAGTACGGGACGTTTTCCACAGCCCCCCCTTCCCTTCCCGCTTTGAGTGTTTAAGGGGGACTGTGCTTCGTGGCGGGAAAAATGAAACTCCGTTTCTCGAACCGCAGGTTAGAGCCTTCTCAGATCTGAGTGTTCCTAGCCAGAGCTCCACGGCAGAGAGCCGGCAAGGAGAAAGCGAAGAACACATCTTGGAGGGAGAGATCCCCAAGGATGTATCCATTCAGCACACCGAGGACACTTCCACCTTGTTGAAAACCAGCTCGACTGTCGAAACAACTAATACTGCTTTTGAATCCACCCGTCAGCCCTTCATCCAGTCCACTACTCAACCCACGACCGAGCCCACAACTAAGCCCACTACCGAGCCCACTGCTGAGCTCACTACTGAGCCCACTACTGAGCCCACTACCGAGCCCACTACGGCACCCTTCTGTCTGGGGCCTGATACTTCCTGCTCTGACGTGGAGAGTCAGTCAGCAGAGTCCAAGTTGGGAGAGGCTTTGATGGACTTCTCGGTGAAGCTCTACCATGCCTTCTCAGCAATTAAGAAGGTGGAGACCAACATGGCCTTTTCTCCATTCAGCATTGCCAGTCTCCTAACTCAGGTCCTGCTTGGTAAGAACCTGACAAAGTTCTCTCCAAGTTGTACGTTGGCCCCTCCCAGGAGGGTCCCCCACCCAGATGCCTGCAAACCCCCGATGCCTCAGGGAGGAAGCTATAAAAAATGGGCTACGTTTGGGGGGAGGGTAACTTCATTCTTGAGCATTCATGTATGCCTTCAGCTAACAGTGATTTGATAGGCACCGTGGCCTATAAAACCGCACGGACGATACAGGAACATACATTTTTTATTTTTTTTTTTTTTAATTGACATCCAAGTTAGCATATAGTGCAACAATGATTTCAGGAGTAGATTCCTTAATGCCCCTTACCCATTTAGCCCATCCCCCTCCCACAACCCCTCCAGTAACCCTCAGTTCTCCATATTTATGAGTCTCTTCTGTTTTGTCCCCCTCCCTATTTTTATATTTTGTTTCCCTTCCCTTATGTCCATCTGTTTTATCTCTTAAAGTCCTCATATGAGTGAAGTCATATGATTTTCGACACAGGAACATAGAAAGCAAAGTTCCAGTCACCAGCCTTGGTTCAGGGTAAGGTGGTAAGGAAGGTGAAGCCATGACTGATAGACGTAGAATAGAATCATGCTGATGGTGCTTTCTGGCTGTGTGACCTTGGCAGGCTCCTTAACTTCTCTGAGCCTGAGTCCTCAGGTGTGAAATGGAGATGGTTGTACCTACTCCAAAAAAGAAAGCAGATAGCTTAGTGCCTGGCTCAGAGGGAGGTCAAAAAAATGTTCATCCTCTGCCTTCCTGAGAGATGCTATTAAGTCCCGTGGGATTAACCTCTATCAACACCCCCTAGAGTGTTCCATAAATTTTATCTGTTACTGCACAGAAGAGGGGCACAATGAACATCTAATAATGAATAACTGAAAGGGTATTGAACGTCTAGGCTCTTTTTTTTTTTTTTTTAATTTTTAAGTTTATTTGTTTATTTTGAGAGGGAGGGAGGGAGCAGGAGAGGGACAGAGAGAGAGAGTCCCAAGCAGGCTCCACACTGTCAGCGCAGAACCGGACTTGGGGCTTGAAGTCACGGACCATGAGATCATGACCTGAGCTGAAATCAAGAGTCAGATGCTTAACCGAATAAGCCACCCAGGTGCCCCCAAACATCTATGCTGTTTTGTGATTCTCTGGTGTCTCCTCTTATGAGTGAGCCAGTGTCCCTGCCTATAGGGTAAACCTTTGTAAACCCAAACCAACTAAGTAATAGTACGTGTGCAACAGGCAGTGATTGGACTAGGCCTTCCGTGATGTGTGGGATTAAAATTAGGTAGAAAAATGGAGAGTATTCAAAGCCTTGGAAAAGCTTATCCATGATTATTCCCAATTCCCCCACCCCTGTCTTTGACATAGGAATTATCTTTTGAAACAGTCGAGCCCACTCAGATGATTTGCGATTCCCTTCAAAGCAAGAAACAACACGCCCCCCCCCCCCATAATTCCAGCCTGGTCTCTCAATCCTAGTCCTGAATGGTGGGTCCCCCGTTCCTGCGGTTCTCCCTCATTTCTGCCCTTGGTCGTAGGCGCTGGGGACAGCACCAAGAGAAACCTGGAGAGCCTCCTTTCCTACCCCGAGGACTTTGCCTGTGTCCACCAGGCCATGAAGGCCTTCACATCCAAAGGCTTCACTTCATTCTCTCAGATCTTCCACAGCCCGGGTGAGTTTCCTGAGAAAAGACAACAGCTGCTAAGCAGGGATTGGAGAGGATTCTGAGGGGGACCTGGGGAAAGAGGCTGGAGGGAACATTAGAGCTAGAACATCAGCGATGGACTGCAGAGCGGGTGAGGGCCTCAGCAGGAATGCCATTTGGCTCTAGGTGCTGGATGGTTCTCCTGGTAAGGCCTTGGTAAGTCATTTCCATACATCCACCCTGATTAGATTAAGAATGGCCTTCTGCATTTATTCATAGATAGGACCAGAGAGCTCAAGTTAAAAAAAAAAAAAATTCTTTTAAGCTTATTCATTTATTTTGAGAGAGAGAGAGAGAGAGAGAGAGAGAGAGAATCCGGAGTGGGGAGAGCCTGAGGTGGGGCTTGAACTCACGAACCCCGTGAGATCATGACCTGAGCCAAAACCACGAGTCAGACACTTAACCGACTGAGCCTCCCAGGTGCCCCTCAAGTTGAAAATTTTTTATTAATCTGGGTCAGGGGAGCCTTGAGACTTGTAGTTGTTTGCACTTTTGTGTTCTGTGAATTTGTGGTCATTTACGTATATTGCGTTGAGTATGTAATAAGGTTAATAAGCTTCCAAAATGATCTAATACAGTTATTTTCAAATTTTCTTCCCCAGAGCCCTGGGGTTCTGCTGAGCTGCTTCAGGGGTCATGGTGGAAGTTAGGGGGGTGATCAGGGAGGCTGAGTGGTGGGTGGGGTACCAGCTGTGGGTGCGGGGGGCAGATGGGGCCAGCCAGGCTCCGAGCCCTCCCCCAGCTTCCACCAGAACCCTTTTAACTGTGGGCTTCAGACATGACTATTTGAAACCACAGTTCTGCTCCTTAAAGAGGTTCAAAAACTACAGATCTAGTCTGACCCCCTTCTTTAAAGGGAAAACTTTTTCCTGTTTTTCTTAAACTTGTTTTAAAAATGTTTAATGTTCATTTGTTTCAGAGAGAGACAGAGAGAGACAGAGCACAAGTGGGGGCGGGGCAGAGAGAAAGGGAGACACAGAATCCGAAGCAGGCTCCAGGCTCCAAACTGTCAGCACAGAGCCTGACTTGGGGCTCGAACCCGCGAACTGTGAGATCATGACCTGAGCTGAAGTCGAACACTCAACCAACTGAGCCACCCAGGCGCCACTTTTTTAAACTTAAAAAGCAATACTTACTCATTGTAAAAAACAGAAAACACAGGGAAGCAAAACAAAAGAAGAAGAAGAAGAAGAAGAAGAAGAAGAAGAAGAAGAAACAAAGGAAACTCAGCCATCAGCCCATTATCTTAAAAAAAAAATTACCCTCTTTTTAGAGATGGGCAAAATCGTCTCAGAGGTGTTCAAGAAACACTGCATTTACTTATTTGCTACAAATCCACTCAATCCTCTGTCTTGGTAGATTGGTAGAAAACACAACTGCATTTGATGTTATCTGTTTAGTCCAAGAAAAATTACTCTTCAAACACTATTTCCCCCCCTTTTTTTTAAAGTATTTATTTATTTATTTATTTATTTATTTATTTATTTATTTATTTTGAGAGAGAAAGAGAGAGCACAAGCAGGGGAGGAACAGAGAGAGAGGATCCCAAGCAGACTCTGCAGTGTCACCGCAGAGCCCGAGGCAGGGCTCAAACTCACGAATCGTGAGATCATGACCTGAGCCGAAATCGAGAGTCGGACATTCAACCGCCTGAGCCACCCAGGCTCCCCCAAACACTATTTTCTTTAGTGGACTTGAACTTTAGAGAAGAAAAGCCAGGAAATCTCACCGGATTTCCACTGACACCGAGAAGCAGAGTCCATTCCCTGCTGAATTCAGGGGAGAGAATAGGGAAAACACTGGCAAATGGAAGTTAGTATCTCAGAAGAGTTATTTTGCTGAGCTACAACCACACGGCAAGGAGAGACAGCAAGGGCCTCGGATGGGTCCTGCCTTCAGTTCAGGGCTGGCTTTCTCGGGGCCTCCACTGTCGTGTCTGTAAGAGGAGCGGGCTGGCCCCCTGCTCCAGCCTGCCGCGTTCGCTGCGGCGAGCTGAGAGCGATAGGAAACGCGTTCCCTCTCACAGCCTTCTCCTAGAAGCCAGAGGATGTTCAGGGGACTCATGCCTCCCTCTCTCCACCTGCCTCCCGCCCCCCAGACCTGGCCGTAAGAGACACCTTTGTGAATGCCTCTCAGAACCTCTATGGCAGCAGACCCACAGTCCTGGGAAACGACAGTGATGTCAATACGGAGCTCATCAACACCTGGGTGGCGGAGAAGACCAACCACAAGATCACGCAGCTGCTGGACAGCCTGCCCTCTGACACCTGCCTGGTCTTCCTCAATGCCGTCTACCTGAGTGGTAAGGGAGCCTTGAGCCACGCGGTCTTTCTGCCCTGAGTCCTTTCCCTCTTCCTGCCTTGAAAGCCCACGCAACCCCAAGTTCCACAGCTGGACCCCCTTGTGCCCGGCCCACCCCTTGCCAACAGGGCTTTGAGCTCCTCGTCATCCCTTGCCCACCTGCTTAGAGTAATTCTCCTTCCCCTTCCCTCTAGCCAAGTGGAAGACAACCTTTGATCCAAAAAGAACCAGGATGGAGCCCTTTTACCTCAAATCCTCTGTGATAAAAGCATCCATGATGAACAGCAAGAAATACCCGGTGGCCCATTTCACTGACCCAACTTTGAAAGCCAAGGTATGTTCTGGGCCCTTCCCACTCTCGTTTCAGAGCCTCTGGCAGGTCCTGGTGTCTTTTATGCCACGGCCCCCATCAGTGTGGGGCATACCCTTATGAAGTCCTCATTTCTACTCCTTCCATCTGTATTTCCACCCTATCTTTTCTGCTTTTCCCCTCTCTAGCTTGGCCGAGGCAGGCATGGTTTATTTTAGGCTGGAAAGCAGGATTCTAAAAGTTTCTTCATCTCCCCTGCATCGAAGGTCAAAAAGTGAGTCTGTTCATCTGTTTCTTTTTCTCGTCAACCCACCAGGAGACCCTGGTGGCTTAGTTAAGTCATGTGTATAGCATGCATATGTAGATGTACATGGGTATGGGTAGGTATAGCTGTGTGTGCATGTGCGTGGTAAGTGCACGTGTGTGCATGTGTTAAATGGCATATGTTCCTTAGCAGAAATTGAATGGTAAAATGTCAACGGATGGGAAGGGTGGGAAGATTGAATACGGATCCCAGAAGTTTCTGGTTTTGTGTTTTTGTTTTTGTTTTTGTTTTTGTTTTTGAGAGAGAGAGAGAGAGAGAGCGAGCAAGCATGCACAGGGGAGGGGCAGAGAGATAGAGAGAATCCCAAGCAGATTCTGCACTGTCAGCGTGGAGCCCAACGTGGGGCTCGAACTCATGAACCACAAGACCATGACCTGAGCCTAAACCAAGTCAGACACTTGACTGAGTCACCCAGGCGCCGCCAGATTAAACTCCTTTAAACCATTTATTCCAATAATTTACAAATATGGTTCATATTTCCACAAGCAATTTGAGCTTGTCCATATATTTTGCTTTATAAAAATACTTTATAAGTTTAATATACTTGATTTTCTTTTTAAGCCTGCCAGATACCCATCAGGGATGAATTACAACCCCCATGTGGGCTGGATCTTTCCAAGCACCTAAATCTTACTGTAAAGTAAAAATTGAATTTGAAGAGTAAATCAACTTTCCACCAACATCTCAATATCATTCTCAAATTTAATTATCCTACACCTTTTTTTTTTTTTTGCTTAAAAGCATAAAACTAAGATGTCTGATTCTCTTATGAGCTTATTTATTTATTATATTTTTAACATTTATTTATTTTTGAGAGAGAGAATGGGGAAGAGCATGAGCAGGGGAGGGGCAGAGAGAGGGTGGGAGGGAGAAAGAATCTGAAGCAGGCTTCACACTGTTGGCATAGAGCCCAGTGTGGGGCTCGAACCCACGAACCGTGAGATCTTGACCTGAGTTGAAGTTGGATGCTCAACTGACTGAGCCACCCAGGCGCCCCGATGTCTGTTTTCTTAAAAATTATAAACACCATTTTGAATAATGAACACACCAACCACCCTGAATATACTCTGATGTTAATACTATGGAGTTGGTTTGCTTTGTTAAACTCGTACTTAATTCTAAGGCTTACTGGGACTCAAGAACATTTACCCAACTAAGGAGGTTAGATTTACCAATTCAGGAATAGAAGGGTTACTGGCTTGAAAATTTAAGACCACAACATGGTAATCTTATGGTAAGAGATTCAAGGTCTGTACCCAGGACCTGAAGGGTATACATTTCCAGATGAGTCTGCCCTATTCAGTGCCTATGCCAACAGGGAGCCCTTGTCCGTGTTCTTCAGTTGATATCAGCTTATCGCCAGTTTCTTCCGGGCCATTATTTTGCATTCCATCAATCAATGGGTTTCCATTAATTTCTTTATTGCCCAGTTGAATTCTGCATTCTAGATTCTTCTCATTCCTATCCCAACCTGAACCATTGTGCCCTTGTAATTATAGTCTCTTACATCCTATTAGACTATGGTTTCTCAACCTTGGCACTATTGACATTTCGGATTAGATAATTCTTTGTTATGAGGGGCTATCCTGGGCACTGTGTAGATTTTAGCATCATCCCTGTCTCTACCACTAGATGCCAGCAGCACTGTGGGTCCCCTCCCTTCCAATTGTCACAACCAAAACGTGTCTAGACATTGTCAAGTGTCCACTGGGAGCAAATTCACCCCGGGTTGAGAGCCCCTCTATATTGGACCTATGGGTCCTGTACTTGTGTCACACTTCTGTCTGACCACCAGTTGGAAGTCCTTTTAATGGCAAGCTTGACAGGTAGGCTAGGATCGGCTTGTACACAATCTCAAATGCCGCACGAAGAGATTTATACTTAATCTCATAGACAATAAAGAGCCACCAAAAGTCTTTAAAAGGACTGGGGCGCCTGACTGGCTCAGTCTTTGGAGCATGTGACTCTTGATCTTACAGTTGTGGGTTCAAGCCCCATGGTGGGTGTAAAGATATCTTAAAAATTTTAAAAACGTCCTTCAAAGGACTGATCTGGAGCACCTGGGTGGCACAGTTGGTTAAGCCTCTGACTTTGCCTCAGGTCATGATCTCACAGATCATGAGTTCGAGCCCCACGTTGGACTCTGCTGTCAGCACGGAGCCTGCTTCGGATCCTCTGTTCCCCTCTCTCTCTGCCCCTCCCCCACTTTCTCTCTCTCTCAAAAATAAATAAGCATTTGGGGCACCTGGGTGGCTCAGTTGGTTAAGCATCTGACTTCGGCTCAGGTCATGATCTCATGGTTTGTGGGTTTGAGCCCCATCTCAGGCTCCTTGCTGATCATTCAGAAGTAGCTGACAGCTACTTTGGATTCCTCGCTCACTCTGCCCCTCCCCAGCTCATGCACTCGCTCTCTCTCTCTCTCTCTCAAAAAAATTAAAAAAAAATTAAACACATAAATAAACGGACTGATGTGATGACTCTGTTATATACTTTATGCACAGCACAGTGGAGGGGAAGGGAACAGGGCTCAGATCAACTTACTTGCCTATATTGTGTAGCTAGTCAGCAGCGGACTCGGGGTATAGTCCTCCGCCTGTGTGATCAGAAAGCCATACTCATTCTCTCTGCATCTCGCCAGAGATGCAACTCACAGAGCTAGACCGGCACCGTTCACCCAGCCAGCCTCCCCGTTTTGTCGCCAAGCTTGGGAGCCTCGGTCCGGCTGCGGCTTGCTGCGGTAGCACAGACTATGGCGGCAGACCAACGATAAGCCTCGGGACGCAGGGGGTGGGAGCCAGGAGAGCCGGGGTCGGAAGGCTGAGAAGGCGCATCTCTTACCCTCCAGGTGGGGCAGCTGCAGCTCTCCCACAACCTCAGCTTGGTGATCCTGGTGCCCCAGAACACGAAACACCATCTTGAAGACCTGGAACAAGCTCTCAGCCCCACTGTCTTCAAGGCTGTCATGAAGAAGCTGGAGATGACCAAATTCCAGCCCACTCTCCTGACGCTACCCCGCATCAAAGTGACGAGCAAGCAAGACCTACTGACAGTCGTGGAGAACCTAAGTAAGCTCTGGCAGCTCAGGATTACTCCGAGGCCATTGGGGTGGAGAGGAGGGTATCCTTAGGATGTGGTTTAGCACTCTCTAGGATATTGTATACCTCCGTCATCTCAGGTTATTCCTCAGTCCTGTGAGTTAGAGGGGAAGATGCTATCATCCCATTGGATCATTGAGGAAATTGAGACTCGGTGTTTACATGACTCACCCAAGGTCCCTTGAGCTCATTAGAAATGAACAAGAACATCAACCCAGGTCTCCATCTCGACTATTCCTACTCTGGTTCATCGTGTCATAGACACCGGGACAGGTGCCCAGGATGGGTTATGGATGCTCCTTCCCCAGGGACCTTTCATAACACGCAGCCACCCCATGGACTATGCAAGAAGCTATCTGCATAATAGAGTCTGGAGGCTTCTGAGTTTAGGGGAGGCAACAGAGATCTCTTACCTGACTTTTGGCCTCACTTCCGGATCTTTGACCTCATGTCCAGATATATCATTTCATTTTCTGTTATAGAACCCTCTAATAGGTGAACTTGTTTCCTAGTATATGACCTCATTTGGTAACATATGACCTCTTTCTGGTGTATGACCTCACTTCTAAGGTCCAAGGAAGCAAGAATATCATTTCTCAATGTTCTTTGGTGGGGGGGGGGGGGGGGGGTGGCAAGGCCTCTCACCTCTTCGGAGAGGGTGGTAGTTGGAGTGAAGATCAGCCCACGGATACAGGATGTAAGAAAGTGGACCAGAAGGCACAATATATAATTTGACAAGCAAGGGAAGTGGACAAAGAGAGTATTGGGGCTTGGTTCTAACCCAGACAATATAGGACAAATGTCTTCAGCAGCTGAGGCTTTCATTCTGGTCTGCCTGCCTGCCTTCCTTCCTTCCTTCCTTCCTTCCTTCCTTCCTTCCTTCCTCTCTTTCTCTTGCTTGTTCCCTTTCTTTCCTTCTTTCCTTATTCTTTCCTCTTTCCTTCTTTCTTTCTCTTTCCTTCCTTCCTTCCTTCCTTCCTTCCTTCCTTCCTTCCTTCCTTCCTTCCTTCCTTCCTTTTCTTTCTTTCTTTCTCTCTTTCTTTCTTTCTTTCTTTCTTTCTCTTTCTTTTTCTTTCTTTCTTTCTATAATCTCTACACCCAATGTGAGGCTCGAACTCACAAGCCCAAGATCCAGAATTGCATGCTCTACCGACTGAGCCAGCCAGGCGTCCCTCCTGCTGGTCTTTGACTCCTTGTTTTTCTCTGGTCTGCTCTAGAATTCTTTGACTTTATTTACGACCTCAACCTGTGCGGGCTGACAGACGACACGGATCTTCAGGTTTCTGCGATGCAGCACCAGGCCATGCTGGAGCTGACGGAGTCCGGGGTGGACGCGGCTGCGGCCTCGGCTGTTTCCGTGGCCCGCAATTTGCTAGTCTTTGAAGTGCAGCAGCCCTTCCTCTTCCTGATCTGGGACCAGCAACACAAATTCCCTGTCTTCATGGGGCGGGTGTATGACCCCAGGATCTGAGACCCGCAGGCCACCAGGCTAAGGCAAGCCCTCCCCCTCAAGCCTCGCCCTTCTGGTGGCAGCCTTGCTGTTGCCTGCCTGGACTGACCTCCAGCCACTTCCCGCCTCGTGTGTTCCCTGCCTCCATGTGAAGGGTGCCCTCGGGGTCTGCTGAGGGACCTACATCTAATGTCCCTTCCCTATGGCTCCCCAAAACACTTGTTTGCAGCTTTCTCTGGCTCAAGTTCACCAGACTCTACAAATAAAACCTGGCAGACCATGACTTCCTCTCTTATTTGCCTTTCAATTTTTGAGGACAAGGGCTCCCATGGCCCCTGTATCAGCTAGTATTGCTGGGTAACAAATCATCCCAAACTTAGTGGCTTAAAATAGCAACCACTTATTATTTCACCTAAGTCTTGGGAGTGGAGGAGTGGTCTTACCGACCTGGCTGATCTTCCCGGGACTTGTTCATGCATCTCTAATAGTTGGGGGATGACCGATCTATAATGGATTCCACTGGGATACCTTGGCTCTCCTCTGCAGGTCTCCCACATCCTTCCTGCAGGCAGGGTTCCAAGAAAGAGTCACACCTTTCCACACCTTTCCACCTTTCCACACCTCTGCATCAAGTTTACCATCAGCCAGAGCAAGTCACTTGCCTGCATCTAGCGTGAGAATGGAAAGGCACTACAAAGTTCCAGACGAGGCCACGAGTCAGGGGCTCTTGGTGACCTGCATTTACCACAGTCCCCGTGTCCCTTGTCTGCAAACAACCGCGACACTAACAGTCACTAATGTTGGGAGCTTACACGGGCAATCTGCTCTGAGCTTTGCAGACCTTTAATGCTTGCCACAACTTCATATGGAAAACTTCAGAAAGATGAAGTCTCGCTCGAAGTCACACAGTTAGGAAATGGATTTGAAAGCACGTTTCTAACTCTGAAAATTCAGAGCTACTCTCTTATAGCTCTGTGCCCTTCTGTCTTAAAATCCTGACTTTTCTTAAATATCTAATTATCTGTTCATTGAATACCTAGGACGTGTCGGGCACTATGCTAAGCACCGAAAGTGTACAGATAACTTAAATTTAGTGCCTGCCTTCAAAACCTACAGCTTGACGAGACAGACAAATAGGAAGATACAATTTCGTATTTAGTAGTTTTTTAAAGTTTTGTTTATTTCTTTATTTTAGTAATCTCTATACCCAGCAAGGGACTCAAACTCACAACCCCCAAATCAAGAATTTCATGCTCTCCTGACAGAGCCAGCCAGATGCCTGTAAGAAGATAGATTTCAGGGGCAACTGGGTGGCTCAGTGGGTTAAGCCTCCAACTTTGGCGCAGATCCTGATCTCACTGTCCATGAGTTCAAGCCCCACGTCAGACTCTGTGCTGACAGCTCAGAGCCTGGAGCCTGCTTCAGATTCTGTGTCTCCCTCTCTCTCTGCCCCTCCCCTGCTCATGCGTGCGCTCTCTCTCTCCCTCTCAAAAATAAATAAACATTTTTTTAAAAAGATAGATTTTAATACTGAATGTTCTTTGCATCCCTGAAGAGGTCTCAATGTGTTTTTCTCATGTCTGCCTTCTGCTCTTTGACTCGCTAATGTTCCCTCTAAATTTTATTTATTTATTTTAAATTTTTTTCCTTTTTTTTTTATGTTTATTTGTTTTTGAGAGACAGAGACAAAATGTGGGTGGGGGAGGGGCAGAGAGAGAGGGAGACACAGAATCTGAAGCAGGCTCCAGGCTCTGAGCTGTCAGCACAGAGCCCGATGTGGGGCTCGAACTCACGGACCATGAGATCATGACTTGAGCCGAAAGTTGTACGCTTAACCGACTGAGCCAGCCAGGCACCCCTTCCTTCCAATTTTTAGCCCTTCTAGCTCCCTTTTTCCCTCTCTCCCCTTCTCATCCCATTTTTATTTCAGTCCCCTGTCCCTATTTACCTGCCAAATGTGTCTGTACCCCTTTCTTCCCCCCTCCTAGTTACAGTGTTGTCAACCCAAACAGGAGGACTGGTTTCTGGATGTATCCCTGTTCCACAAGAGCTTCATCAGGCATGTGCCCTACAGGAAGATTTGATTTTCTGATAGGGTCTTTTTTTTTTTTTAATTTTCTTAATGTTTATTTATTTTTGAGAGAGAGAGAGAGAGAGAGAGAGAGATCATGAGTGGGGGAGGGGTAGTGAGAGAGGGAAACACAGAATCCCAAACAGGCTCCAGGCTCTGAGCTGTCAGCACAGAGACCGACGCAGGGCTGGAACCCACAAACGGTGAGATCATGACCTGGGCTGAAATCGGACGCTTAACCGACTGAGCCACCCAGGTGCCCCAACGGTCTTTTTTGTTTTTCCTTAGAGCACGAGCAGGGAAGAGGGGTAGAGAGGGAGACAGAGGGAATGTTAAGCGGGCTCTACACTCAGTGCGGAGCCCGACGCTGGGCTCAATCCCACGACACTGGATCATGACCTGAGCTGAAATCAAGAGTCAGACGCTCAACAGACCGAGCCACCCAGGTGCCCTGATTTTCTGACAGGGTCTTAACCTCAGTCAAGCTAGTCCTGCCTGAGCTGCTTCTGTAGAGTGAGTGATTTCCTAAGGCCATCAAAGCCACCACATCACCGCTGCCTCCTGCTCCAGGGACTTCTGCTGCCTGTAGCATCTGGCTTCCCCATCTCCCCACTCAGTGAACACCCTGGTCATGAGGAGAAACTGAGGCGTGGGGAGGGGGGCCGTGCAATCACTGGCCAAGCTGGGTACTGCAGCCAGGCTCCCCGCCCTCAGCCTTCAGTCCGGCTCCTCTCTCTCCGGCGTGCGGTGATGCAGCTTCGGTAAACATTGGCCGGACTGGCACGGGATGGATTCTGATCACCAAGCACGTCGGCTCCCTAATGCCTCAACTGGTCAGCGTCCTCTCGTCCACGCACGTTCTGGTGGACGTCGGAATTCTCAGAGAGGCGGGAAGAAGACATGAGAGGTACTCCTGGCTTGTCCCCTCCCCTGTATTCACCTATCACCTTGTTTTCTGCTCTCACACTTGCTCCCCCGTGTACCGTGGACTGTTCCTGGGGCGAAGTCTCAGGAGGGCAGGTCCCAGGTCAAAGGCCTTCCTTGCAGCTCAGTCTCCCAGCCGAGGCTGAGAACCAGACAAGGGCCACCCCGATGACCTGTAGCTCTGTGGACACGGAGAGCTCACCACTTCCCAACAGGCCTGATTTGCAGGGTGATCTTTGCACATCGTTCCCTTTCACAGGGGGCAAAAGTCAATTGCGGGCCGCTGGGAAGATGCCACGTTTCCTGTCTGGGCTGATTCCTATGGGAACGGTTGTTGAAAGCAAAGGCCCCTACCTGCTCATTCTGGAAGGTTCATCGCTCCTTGGGGAGACCCTGACCTGAAGGTCTCTCCTTGGGGTACGTGCTCAGTACCCACCTGAGATACGAACAAGCAAAGTCAGGAGGTGGAAAATGATTCTGACCCATGGGCACAGCACTTTGTAAATTTTTTGGACCCTGTCCACCGTGCTGAAAGCCAGGTTTTACTCCTGTTTGTGAGATAAGGAAGCTGAAACTCGGAAAGGTTAAGTAACTATCCAAAGGTCACACAGCTGTAAATTGATCCCACTGGTGTTGGAATTCAAATTTAGTAGGTAGTTTATCAGACCAGGCTCCCTTTCCTTCCAAACTAAACTATAAATCAGACCTTTTTCTTTTTCTTTTCTTTTCTTTTTGTACTTCTTTTATTTAATTTTTTTAATGTTTATTTTTGAGAGAGAGGAGAGAGACAGAGCACGAGCAGGGGAGTGGTAGAAAGAGAGGGAAACACAGAATCCCAAGCAGGCTCCAGGCTCTGAGCTGTCAGCACAGAGCCCGATGCAGGGCTCAGACTCACAAACCGTGAGCTCATGACCTGAGCCGAAGTCAGACGTTTAACCGACTGAGCCACCCAGGTGCCCCTCTTTTCCTTTTTTTAAAGATTTTTTTTTTTAGAGGAGGCTGGGTGGCTGAGTCGGTTGAGCATCTGACTCCTGATTTTGGCTCAGGTCATGATCCCAGGGTTGTGGGATCAAGCCCCATGTTGGGCTCAGTGCTGAGCATGGAGCCTGCTTAGGATTGTCTCTCTCTTTCTCTTCTCTCTCTCTCTCTCTCCCTGTGCTCCTCCCCAGCTCGTGTGCATGTGCATGCTCTCTCTCTCTCTCTAAAATAAATAAAAACTTAAAGATTTTTTTTTCTTTTTACGTAATCTCTGTACCCAATGTGGGGCTTGAACCCACAGCCCCGAGATCAAGAGTACAAGTTCCACCAGCAGAGCCAGCCAGGCGACCTTATATCTGTGTTTTCTTATGCTCTGCAACCATATACCCCCACCAAACCTATTAAAGTGCCTTACGCTAAAAGACACACACACACACACACACACACACACACACACACACTATAAACTATTGAATGAATGATTGAATGAATCACCACAACCTGGTAGCAGGAAAGAATAGAACATCTGGAATTGGAGAGAACTGAAATATTTTCTGATCTGGGGATTTTCTTCTAAGAGAACATGTGTCACTTTTTTAGGTTTGTTGGTTTAAAACAATAAACATTTATGCGTCGTTGAGTCAATGTGGGCCTGACAGTTTCTGGGTGGCCCTGGTTGTATGTTGACTGCAGTCAGCTGAGGGGTTCGCTCGAAGGTCTGATGAAGCTTGGCTTTACTGAGCTCATAGGGTCTGTTTTGCACATCTTGGATCTTGGCTGAGATGGGTCAGCTGACCTGCTCTGCTCCACATCGTCTCTCATCTGCTAGGAGGTTAGTCTGGGCTCCCTCGTGGAGGTCAAAGGAGCCTAAGAGTGGAAGCAGAGGTGTGCAAGGTCTCTTGAGTCTGAAACTGGGAAGTAATACAACAGGCACTGAATGCTCGTTCTAGACCACCTCAGAATGAAAGTGTAGGGAAAAAGTCTCCACTTCTTTTTTTTTTTTCCAAGTTTATTTATTTAGGGGCGCCTGGGTGGCTCAGTCAGTTAAACGTCCAACTTTAGCTTTGGTCATGATCTCGCTGTCTGTGAGTTCAAGCCCTGCGTCGGGCTCTGTGCTGACAGCTCAGAGCCTGGAGCCTGCTTCGGATCCTGTGTCTCCCTCTCTCTCTGCCCCTTGCCCACTCACACTCTGCCTCTCTCTCCCAAAAATAAATAAATATTTAAAAAATTAGTTTATTTGTTTATTTTGAGAGGGACAAAGACAGAGTAAGTGGGGGAGGGGCAGAGAGAGAGAGAGAGAGAGAGAGAGA